TGCCAACTTGTATACCTATTTTTCTCAAGTTTGGCCTTTTCATGGTGTCCCATAGTTCCTGGATATTTTGTGTTAGGGATTTGTTGGACTTAAATTTTCTTTGGCGGATGAATCTATTTCTCCTACTATATCTTACACCTGTCAGATGGCTAAATTTAAAAACACCAAGGACAGTTTATGCTGGAGAGGATGTGGAGAAAGGGGAACACTCCTCCACTGCTGGTGGGAGTGCCAACTTGTATACCTATTTTTCTCAAGTTTGGCCTTTTCATGGTGTCCCATAGTTCCTGGATATTTTGTGTTAGGGATTTGTTGGACTTAAATTTTCTTTGGCGGATGAATCTATTTCTCCTACTATATCTTACACCTGTCAGATGGCTAAATTTAAAAACACCAAGGACAGTTTATGCTGGAGAGGATGTGGAGAAAGGGGAACACTTCTCCACTGCTGGTGGGAGGGCCAACTTGTACAGCCACTTTGGAAATCAGTATGGTGACTCCTCAAGAAAATGGGAATCAGTCTACCACAAGATTCAGCAATTCTACTCTTAGGCATATACCCAAAAGAAGCATATTCATACAACAAGGACATCTGTTCAATGATGTTCATAACAGCACTATTTGTAATAGCCAGAATCTGGAAGCAGCCTAGATGCCCCTCAACTGAAGAATGGATAGAGAAATTGTGGTACATTTATACAATGGAGTACTACTCAGCAGAAAAAAACAATGGAATCTTGAAATTTGCAGGAAAATGCATGGATCTAGAAGAAACCATTCTGAACGAGGTAACCCAATTGAAAAAAGACAAACATAATATGTACTCACTCATATGTGGATTTTAGACATAGAGTAAGGGATTACCAGCCTACAATCCACACTGCCAGAGAAACTAGTAAATAAGGAAGACCCTAAAAGAGATAAACTTTGTCCCCTGGAGAAGGGGAAAGGGTCACCATCCCCTGAGCAAATTGAGAACATGGGAAGAGGGGGAAGGGAGCTACGAGAATGAGAAGGGGTGAAGAGGAAGGATGCAGAGGTCATGAGGGAGCAGAAAGGTTGAGTCAGGTGTAGATTAGAAGAAAGGATATGTGATAGGTAGGGTTTTAGTTGGGGGAGGGGTGATAGGGGAGGAAGGGAAGGAGAAGGGAACTGGGATTGTCATGTAATTCAATCTTGTTTGTAATTCAAATTTTTAAAAAGTCAAAAAAAAACTTGAAGAAAGACAAAAGTAAAAAGAAAAAAATGGTTTAGCAAGCATGGCTCCAATTTTGGTCTCTCCTGTGACCATGTGTTCATTTTTCATGAGTTGAAGCAGCACAAATCCCTTATCCAAAACCAGGCAGATCTCATCACCATAGTTTTGAATTTCTAAGGCACTAGAATCAAGAGACAAAACAAGTCCTTCCTCTTCATTCATTAGCCAAAGCAGCCTCAAGCATTCTGTTACAGCAATGAAAGACAGGCATACATATCCATAAAATAGATTGAGAAGACTTTTGGTATAATGGTTTAGGGAACAAAGGAACGGATCCATTTATGCCCTTCCTCTTCCCTTTAGTATTGTCCTTATTTTTTACAGAAGTAGCTTCATCAATTTCTCCCTTTACTCTTAGGCTTGCCCTTTCAGATGTCCTTTCCTTTTCTAGTGGGTAATAAAAGATATATACTGTTCCCACTGTTGGATTGAAACATTACTTATAGCTAATTCTTCTAAATGGGATCTTGTGCCTCAGAGAAATAGCTACATGCTTAGCTTGTCTCTTGAGCACAGAACTTCCATTGCATCATATTCCTGACTCCTCCTGAAAGCAGCCCCTCCCTTTTATATAAATTGTTGTGGTTTGAAGGAGAATGTCCATAGATGCATATATTTGAATATTAGGTTCCCAGTTGGTAGAACTGCTTAGGAAGAATTAGCAGGTGTGGCCTTGTTGGAGGACGTGTGTAACTAGGAGTCGGCTTTGAGGTTTCAAAAGCCCACGCCATTCCCAGTTTTCTCTCTCCCTCTGTCTCTCTGCCTCTCTGTCTCTCTCTGCCTCCAACTTTCAGATGTGAGCTCTCAGCTACTACTCCAAAACCATGTTGCCTGTCATGCTTCCCCCGTGATGGTCATGGACCCTAACCCTCTGAACCCATTGCCTTAGTCATGCTGTCTCTTCACAGCAATAGAAACTAAGGCAGAAATATAACTTAGCTTTGTGTTTACTCTGGTTTTTTTCCTTGCTTACCCCAGTTTTCATTAATCCTTCCATCAAGTCTTCCCCCTCTCTATTGTTTGACCTCATCTGCACTAAGCCTTGCTACTCCTCCACACCATGATAATCACCTTACCTGTATTCCTGACTTACCCATCTCCTCTGGCCCTCAGTTACAACACTTTCCATTATAATGTGGAGTTTTGACTCTTTTGCCTCTAAAGGATTTGCATTTGATTATCTTTAAGGTAAATTTTTATTTTAACTTTCCATCTTGCCTCTGTTGCACAGTGTACGGAGAGTTCTAATTCCCATTTAGTTCACTTTTGAGTCTCATGCTTCATTATTTCCTTCTCATTCCCAAACTTTTAACTACATTTTTTTTCTTCAACATTTTTAGGACAAGCCAAATGGACAAAGAGAAAAAAAATGCTTTGTTATTTTCTCCTTTTTACCAATTTTAGCCCATAAAATAAAAGGACATGTTCGGAGTCTGAAGGACAGTAACTGTAACTTTGTGTTCCTTACCAAGCATGAGATCTTCTTAGGATTCACTGTGAGAATCCTGTCAGCGAAGTTTCACTGGTCTGGAGGTAGAATTCAGCGTTCAGGGTACTTTAGCATTTGTGAGGCCCTGGGTTTCATCCCAGCACCCCATACATACCCATACTCAAAAGAGTGTTCAGTAAGAGTCACTTGAGACAGAATCTTGTGTGGTCTTCCTCCAACATTCTTGAGTTTCACCTCACTTATTTGTGGTGCTTCCATATCAGACTCCTGTCAGCCACCCTTTCTCATAGGTTAATGAGAAAGACAACAAAGAAAACTCGACTTTGCTCAGCTGAATGCCCCTTTTACAATAAAAAAAAGTATGTTCTTCTAGATTTCAGAGTAAGTTGACAGCATTAAACAATTCTGTGGCACAAAGGTCTTTTTTTATGCTTTTATTTAGCAAAACTCCAGGGTGATTTTTGAGATATGTTAGACAACCCATTCACTGAGGGCAAGTAGGGTCATTCTAAAATGTTCGTCAATGGTTCTCAACAATTTTACCAGAGCCATAGAGAAAAAGCCACCTGGAAAAGGCCACTGCACAGTGGAACTTGTATAGCCAGATTTCTTAAGACATTATGAAAAGGCTCTCTCTGTCTGTGTCTCTTTCTCTCTCTCTCTCTCTCTCTCTCTCTCTCTCTCTCTCGCTCTCTCACACACACACACACACACACACACACACAAGCACACCATATTAGTTTAAAATATTCCATTTAAAAATCAAATTTTACATAAAACATTATGACTATAGATTGGTTCTTAGACACAGGAGCTACACCTAGCTATATTTTGTAGAAGAGGCTAGGCATCACTCGATGTTGGTTTACAGACTTAACTTCATAACTGTAGGAAAAATATTTCTTGTAGGGTTCTCTGTCCAAAAAAGCAAAAGCCCTCTCCCCAGGGTGTCTTGCTGCCATGTTGAAACATCTCTCTCTCCTTTGCTACCTCCTCAGAGTGCCATCATGCCTACACATCTCTCCATAGTCTGAGCACTACTGGAACTCAGGCTGTGGCCTTCTTGTCCCCTCTGCCTCCCAAATCACCACCTCTTCTATCTGTTAACACGTGCTTATAAAATAAGGAAGAGAAACACATTTGGGCCTCACATTTTATCCTTTGATGGTATGAGATCCTAGAGGCAACCCTAGCTTTGTATCTCATTTCATGGGCTACATCAATGACAATGTCAATGGACATGTGCTTTCACCTCTCTGGGCCTCACTTCCCCTCTAAACAGAGACAATAACCCTTCCCAGAGTGAACTGTCATGGAATTAGGGTAGGAAAGAAACTGGCACACAGTGGCACTAATGTCCTAATATGTCAGTTGTAGATGGGGACTGTCTTCCAGAGGATGGAACATAGATGTTTCTAGAATGTGTATCTTGAGTGGCAAAGTTTTGCTGATATTTGTACTTCTGATAAAACCTACCAGGATAAACCACATGTTTGGGAGGAACAGCAATATGTGTTTTGTGCTATACTGCAACGGATTACTGTGCCAGAATCAGTTCCTAGTTATACAACACTGATCTGTGGACTTGGCCTCCTCGGGCTCCTTCCACTGAAATAAATTGGCCTTGAGATCACACACCACAGCTTAAAGGAGGTTGAAGAGAATAAAATAGTTTTCCTCAATTCACTATCCCACTTCTCACTGTAGAAACAACCGCAGGGGTTGCAACATTACCCCTGAGAGAGGCAAAGCTGCATCCATGACAGTCTGCTGACCAACTTACTGTAAGGTAAGCAGCACTGAGCCAAACGGATAGAATCAAAAACTTCACCTTGTTCCTACTTACTGTGAGACTTGGGCAAGCCAGCTGTGCTCAATAAACCTCCACTGGGAAATGGTGGTGCTGTATGGGAGCGCACCTATAATCCCAGTTCTCAGGAGACTGGGGCAGAAAGGTTACCATGGGTTGGTCCATACCAGGCTGGTGAAAACCACAGAAACAGCTGACCTGAACAAGGGAAAACTCTTGGTTCCCAGACTAACAGCTGGGAAACCAGCATGGGACTGATCCAGACCCCCTGAATGTCGGTATCAGTGAAGAGACCTTGGAAATCTATGGGGCCTCTTGTAGTGGATCAGTACTTATCGCTACCATAGGAATGGACTTTAGGAGCCCATCCCACATGGAGGGATACTCCCTGAGCCTAGACAGGTTGGCCTAGGCCCTATCCCAAAGGATATGACAGACTTTTAACCCCCCCCCCATGGAAGGCCTCACCCTCCCTGGGGAGCAGAAAGAGTATGGGATAGGTAGGGAGTTAGTTGGGGGGGGGCAGGGGAGGAGGGAAGGGAAAGGGACCTGGGATTGACATGTAAAATAATCTTCTTTCTAATAAAAAAAAGGAAGAGAAAGCCACTGTTTTATGGCCATAGTGAGCTCTTTCTCTGTCACATTCAGGTTTATATATTTATCTCTTCCACCAGCAAATGACTAGAATTTCAGTTCAGTAAAATGCTGTATGTGTTTTGAATATGTGCATATGCCGTGTGTGTGTGTGTGTGTGTGTGTGTGTGTGTGTGTGTGTGAGAGAGAGAGAGAGAGAGAGAGAGAGAGAGAGAGAGAGATGATCAAATCCACATGGCCACTCTCTCGTCTTCTGCATGCCAAAGCATCACAAATCCATAACAGCCTATGGTGGCAGCAACTACATATATACATAACGCTGCCCAGCTGACTTCGAATTGTTCTCACGTGGCGTGCAGTTTCCTTTGCAAAATATTTCAAAGATAAGCCCTACCAAGCTGTAATAGAGGGTATCCACACATGACCTGGGGGCTAAAGTCCCCTCAGTTCTGATGGGGTCTTTGTCTATAGAGCTTCCACTAACCACACCCCTGGTTCCTTATTAAGACAACTAGAAGGAGAGGCAGGCTGGTCACCTATAAGCTGCATATGGAAGAGTGAACCTTCCCAAACTTCTGAAAAAAGTCTTCCTGTGCCTGGGCCAAGGCTTCTTCATCAATGTAGACTGCAGGCCTCTTGGCCATGATGAAGTACTGCACCTTCCGAAGGCTCCAGCCAATCACGTAGTGGAGCCAGCCGCACACTGCGGCTGTGGAGCGGCCCACCCCAGCGTTGCAGTGGACATACACAGTGTGTCCATTCTCCAGAAGGGCGTGCAGGAGGCACACTGCCTGTGGCAGCATCTGCACTCGGCCTAGACAGAGAAAGCACAGAATACAAGTGACTAGAGAAACTACTATGTCACAGCTAGAAATTCTACCAGTGCACTACAGCAGAACCCTGAGCTCAGGGGAGTGGGGTGTGACAGTTTGCTTCATTTATTGTTTTAGTTGAAAAAAAGTGAAACAAATTTAATACCTGAGAATATCAAGGTGGAGAGAGCATCCCAGAGACATCAGACTATTCTGAACCTAACTATTCCAGGGATATTAAAGCTTTTTGAGAAGCTTCGATATTGATGCAAATCTCTCTACAAAGTTAACTACCAAATGTTTTTGACAGGGCACGGGTCAGAAGAAAGGATTTTTAACATCTTTTTAGAAGCATTTGCAGAGATTTGGCAATGGTTTTAGAGGGTTTCAAAGGAAACTTGATAAATCCTGTCCCCCTCAATCTCACTACTCCTAAGTGTCCTTCCAGGGAGACAGAAAGCCCACAATTAGTTCACACTGGTTAATGACTCAGTCGTACTCACTGCTTAGACAGATGCAATTTGAGACAGAATTTAATATGCTGGTTTTCATTCAAGTAACCGAGTGTTATATAACCAATTATTTATGCCACCACAATCCAGTGAATACTGACACAGATTTGATTTCTTTCTGTGTTATTGGAAAGCTGTGACCACAGTGTTACTGTCCTCTGGCTGCTATTCTGATGATCAAATGTCTCCCCATCCTGAGAAGTATGCTAGTTCTGGCTGAGCCCCAGCAGCTCCTGCATCCAGCCAGGCAGGAGAGTAACAACCAAGCAGCTTCTGAACTCTGAGCTGACCATTCTTTCTGCTCATACGATCTCCCTATAGAGATATTCAGTGAGTTTTTGTTTATCTGTCTAGTATTTTGGTGCACAGCATCATGACAAATTACTTCAGAAGGGAATTAAAGGGGATGACTACACAGAACTATTGGGTTTTAACTGTGCACTTGCAACTTGGCATTCTCTAGTTTCTCTGTATATCATTGAAGGGCACAATGGTCCCAGCAGGATCTCCCAGGACTACAGAGCTAGCTATCTCATGTCCATGTTGTGGTTCCTGTTGAATGACTGAAGAGATGAGAAGCCCCTCCCTCACCTGCAGATCTTCACTGAAGCCTAGATTCTCCCCAGTGGCTTTCACCCCTGAGATGTCCTCTTTAGAAGTGCTAATACCCTGACATGGCCAATACAGTGCCTTGGAATCAGGAGCCAGTACCATGAAAGGTAGTTCTCACAGAAGCTCACCATGGCTCCAAGGTCTCCTCAGTCATGGTCCCAATGAAATCCTTAAGTGGCTACTCAAATGAAGTCAGTCTGACCCCAAAGCCTCTGACCTTGACCCCCGTGCTGTGTTCCTTCCTAATTCACCTGGTTACTGGCACTTTCCATCTCTCATCTCAGTCTGGATTCTCAAAGTCCCTCCATGTTGCTGTGACCCTGTGTGACTTCAGTGTCTTCCTAGCTCCAAGAAGTATGCCTCCAGGGGCCCCAGTGCAAAACCTGAGTCACCAAGGAATGAAAAAGGGTCCTCACTGTACAAGAGAGATAGTATCAACCAGAACGTACAAAGTTACATTTCGTCTCTTTCTCTCTCTCTCTCTCTCTCTCTCTCTCTCTCTCTATATATATATATATATGTGTGTGTGTGTGTGTGTGTGTGTGTATACACATGAGCACATGCATGTGCCAGTGTGTGTTTCACATGGAACTTTATTTGATAAAATTTTCCAGCCTCAAACAGTAAGGTAAAAATAATCCAATTCTTTTGCTAAAGTTTTACTTGTTATCTTATGTATGAGTGTTTGCCTCTTGTACCCCATCATACCTTGTACCAGTGGAAGCCAGAAGAGGGTGTCAGATCCCCAGAAACAGGAGTTACAGACTATTGTGGGCCACTATGTGGGTGCTGGGAATCAAACCTGAGTCCTCTGCAAGAACAAGTGCTTTTAACCACTGAGCAATCACCCCTGCTCCAAGATTATAATTTATGAAAAATATTCCATTTAAATGTTGCTAACTAAATTGAAAAAATTACAGCCAAGCAAAACACTCCACCATCTGTGTTTCTCCCCTTGAAATTTAAAACAAGCACTGGGTATAAGTAGATACTCGATCAACAATCATTAAATATCTCAATTAAAAACTGAAGGAACAATAATGAAACAATACCACTTGTTTGATCTAAGACACTGTTAGGCTTCTCTGTTCTACCTTGTGTTCAAAACCTGCTACAGGCTAACCTAAATCTGGGATGACTAAAAATTCCCTGAAAGGGGAGTAGGTGTTGAACAAGCCAAGGTTATAAAAAAAAAAAAAAACAGAGATTTTTAACACCTGGCACTTTAGGACCTTAAATAAGGGAGATCAAATGCCCCCAAAAGAGATGCTTTACTTTGTCTAAGGTTGACCAAGAAAGAAATCCACGGCATGCATGCACACCTTTCCTTTCTTAGCCTGGGGGCAGTTTGTAAAGATACACAGCATTATTTTACTTGGACAGTCTTGTTTTCCACCTTCGAGCTATAGTATAGATGAGGGTGCATCTTATCTATGGCATCCTTTGTAGAAAGTTCAAGAACTCCCACCCCTATCTGAGGAGCTACTGGCCCTTGAGAGCTTCCAGGTAAACCATTTTGCTTCACAATGTGTCTCCTGTAGGTTGACCATGCTGCAGAGGATGGACCCACATCATATGGTCAGCACAAAACAGACCCCATGAGTTATATACAAAACAAACCAAAAGAATACAATGTGGGAAGGGTATATGAAGGTGAAGGTGGGGGGTGGATCTGGAAGGAATTACAAGGGAGGAGTCAGGGTAAGTCTATCAAAATACATTTTATGAAATTCTCAGAGAATTAATAAAACATTTTTTAAAAAAACTTGTCACTAATCATACAGTCTATTATTGTTGTAAATTTTTTTTTGGTTTTTCAAGACAGGATTTCTCTGTGTAGCTTTGGAGCCTATCCTGGCACTCACTCTGGAGACCAGGCTGGCCTCGAACTCACAGAGATCCACCTGCTTCTGCCTCCCGAGTGCTGGGATTAAAGGTGTGCACCACCACCGGCATTACTGTGTAATTTAAGAAAAATGGTGCATGAAAGATGCCATGTGACAGGGTTCAAGCAGAGGGTTTTTTATTAGAGAAAGGGGCCTTAAAAAGGGGAAAGGGAAGGAGGGAGACCAGCCTCCGGGAATGGGAGCCACAGGAAAGAGAGAGGAAAGAGGGAGAGAGGGGGGAGAGATGGGGGGCAGGCTGGGAGATGGGCAGGGCTCTTTTAAAAGGGAACATAGTGAATATGAACATAGTGAATTGTGCTCTTAGTGGCTGTAGCTAAGGGTATATCCTGTCAGAACCCCAAGGGCAGGCCAGTACAGATGCCTGAATTATAATCTAGTTAGTAGAGATTCCCACCCTTAGGTGTCCAATGCTGGAATTAATCTGCCTACATTACAAGCTACTCAATGCCTATAAAGCTCCAGCTTGCTCAGCTTCTGGTCTCATGGTCAGTGTCTTTGCATAAAGATAGAGATGAATTCAACCTGCTGAATGAGAAAGTGACCAACTGAGGCCAGACTCATAGAGCTCAATGGGAAGGGAAGAGGGTATTACCGGAAGAGAGGTCAACCCAGAGTCTGACTTCCCCTGAGAAGGAAGTACTAATAGGCAAATGCAGTTTCTTTCATTGAGGTAACTACTGGAATTTGGAGGTTTTTCCCTTTCCAGGTGAAAGAGACAAACCACATTTTACAGAAGAAGAAATGAAAAAAATGTCTATACCTTATATGACAAAATGTACAACAGGGAGGATCAATAGCACAATTGGTTGCAGCAGGCCTGTGACAGTTGAGTCTAACAGACTCTCCTTTGCAGACTTAGCCTGACAGCACTGCCAAGGAGCTCGGAATGCTTCCAGACAGATCCCAGACCTTCCCCCTGGACTTCTAAAAATATCTAGGTGGATTCATCTATATATGCATTAGTCTGTAACTGTAAATTACATAGATTAATCTGTTGGTAGGCAGTCACCCTGCTACTCAGAAATAGTTAACTCTTTGGTCACTTCTCCAGGTCCGACTGAGACAAAGGAATCCTTTATGCAGTGTCAGTCTGTCCTGCTGCAGTATCAGTTTGTCCTACTGCAGGAGATAGTGGAGGGGGCTGCTTCTTTGCTCTCATCCTGCTGCTCTGCTGGCTGTACATGCTAGCTGGCCTTATATGCACTAACCTGGTGACCCAGTGACACCCCTCCAACACTTTGAATACAAGTACAATGGGTCCTAGTGGATAAATAGACCCCAAACTACTGAACAAATTGCCTATTTGCCTGCAGAGCCTTCATTTAGCAGAGCAGGGAATGCAGTGGGGTGAATAGCAGTTAGAATTAATAGCTCAACTGTTCCCTGCCTGTTTCCCCCATATTTACACGGATGGGCAACAATGCTGTGAAATTAGAGCCACAGAAGCCAAATCAAAGTGTCTGTGTGGGTTACAAGAGTCCTAACAAGTCTGTGACTGTTTTAAAACCAAAGACCATCTGTGCAAAAGCAAACCCATGCCGCTTTCAGCTGATGCGAATTCTGTTTCTGTTTGGGGTTTAGCCTGGAGAAATGGCAAGGCTCTTAAACTAAGCTAAGATTCAGATGATCAGATGACTACGAGAAATAACCGGAGTGTCAGTATTTCTCCCCACCACAAGGAACATAAATTATACTGCTCCTTAATGATGGAACAGTTCAAATCTACAGAGGGACCTGTCTGGCCAGGAAGATCACCTGAGGTATTTGAAGTGCCAAAGGTGGCCAGTGACACAGGTTTTCTATAGTCCTCAAGGTGTTCTGCTTACAGACCACTGGTTGTTAGGGTGATTGATGAGCTATGTCCACTCAATTCACGGCTTTGCATACCTCTAGCTAATCAGGAACACAAGGAACTGAAATTATGTCGGTCTGTAGACTCTGCCTGAGCTATACGAAGAAACACGTAGTTGCTGCTTCACAGCCTGGCTTGGGGAGCATTGCTGTGAGTCAGACTACCACCCTCAAAATCTGGGCTGTGACTCTTTCCAGTCAGAAGACCTGTTCCCACCACACAACCTTTTTGTGCCTCTCTCTTCCTCTGCAAAATGGGGCTGACTATAACGTCTATCCAGGACCTTCTGAGAACTTGATGAGTTAAGGCATGTCAATCGGTAGTGGGCTGGATTCACACTATGTCTTTACAGAAGCGGAGGGGAGAAGCCTTTTCTGGCTTCCTAGCTAGGCTTCACTGCCATTCTTTACCCAGAAGAATGAATCACTTAACTCCCCAAGCCGATGCACTCTCTACAGCTCTCTGCTGCCCTCTGCTGACACATTGTTAACACTGTCGTTCAGATGTGGTTCTCTTACCTGAAAAGTTACCCCTACTTCTCAGCAACTGTCTACCTTATCTACATACGGCTCTTCTACAACTCCAAGCCTCTGTGATTTTGTCTATGTTCCTTGTTGCACTAACATTGAGCTCCCTCTGCCCACATCTCACATCTCTCTTCCAAGCCAGATCTACTTCAAATGCTACAGAATTAATGTAGGCTGCCTATCTGCCCTCTTGTGAAGGAGGGCATAACCCCCAGAGCACATCACATCATTCACTGTCCACTCCCGCTGTAATTGGTTCTGAACTTGCCTTACTGCATCTTATGCGTATTGTCTCTGCTTTCCCAGTGGCACCCATCCAAGGTAACCCATTCGTAAAGACTGCGCTCCAGTGCTTGCCCAGTCGATGCTGACTCTACCGTCCTCCCCACAGCCCCCATGCCTCACTGCTCACATTATCACCCATCTTCCTACACCCACATCACTGGATCCACAGGCCCAGCTCCAACTGCCCACGCTGCAATGGAAGTGGACTTATGATGAAAACACTAAAAAGAACCATGACATTGCCCAGCGTCTCATCCTTTCTCTGCTGTAGCTTTGCTCGTACAGTGTGACATTCTCACTGTAGCCCAGATCCTGGCGGCACTTTCATATCCTCAGTTCTTCACCCACACTGGTCTTTCAGCTCCTATAACATGCCACCTCCTCTCCTGACATAAGGGTTCCTTATTCCATTCTCTCCCATCCTGCGGTTTCTCCATTCAGTGCTCAGACACTACCTCAAACGCCACTTCCTCAAAAGCATTTCTAGACTATCTATCCAAGCTCTGCAGAAGTCTGTGATTCTTTAAAACTAACTCATTATGCTTTTAAACTCCTATTTTTGTCCATTCCATTAACACTTGCCATCCATAAGGGACTATACACTCCATGCTCCCGGACACTAACATAATGCACACACACACGGTAGATACCCAATATATATTAAGTATATAATATGTGTATATGTTATAAAATATATATTTAGTATATATAGTATAAAAATTAAAGTTAGACAGAATCCTGTCAAACCATCTAAAGACATATTAAATCTAAATCCTTATGTTAATTCCATTTTATAATTAATATTTGAGACATTCAATTACAGATGTCGGAAAGACAGACAATAAGTGTGCCTCTGAAACAAGTTCAGCAAAGAACCAGAGTGTTTCTTCTGACCCTCACCCTCAGTGCTCATGTCTGGTGTGGGCATCCAGATGTAGGCTAATCCTTCTTCCTTGTACAGCTTCATCATGGTGTCTGGAGTCATGGGTTCAGGGTAGCGGTTACAGCCTGAAGAATTCTGGATGATATCCCATTCGGTCTGGAAATTCATGACAGCTGTAATTCCCAATTCATGCTTCAGCTTGATGGTCACATGTTCTAGTTGGCGAGGGCAGCTACCCAGCCAGATATTTGGTAGAATTCTGGAAAAAAATAAAACACATGGAATCAACAATGACTACTGCTCTAACCTGAGTTCTCAGTATCTGCATACACCATATACAATTAATCTTTCAATCTGATGAGGAAAGGCTAGATTTTTAAGGATATAAGAAACAATAGTATTTTTCAAAAATACCAGTATTACTGTTCTAGGAAAACACATCATGACTCAACAAGCACACCAGGAAGTGGATGTTAGAAACTAAATCCAGCAACATACAGAAATGAACTCCCCAAGATGTGCTCACTGTATGAATGCTGCACAAAATCCATCAATTCATTTCAAATACTACCAAATTAAATGTGAAAACAGATACCATCATCTCAAATTTTAAAAATACACATTGCTAAAATACAGCCATCACTCCTGTTTAGTACTATGTAATTTTTCCAAATAGTATAAGACTTGTGAAACATACTAAACCTCAGAAACAGTGAACTTGAGTTAAATAAAATCAAAACCAAAATAAATCCATTAGCTCCCCAATATTTTTCTATTATGTCATAAAAGGTGATGTGGTAGTTTGAATGTAATTGGCCCCTATAAGCCCTTAGGGAGTGACACTATTAGAAGGTGTGGCTTTCCTGAAGTAATTAGTGCTGTGTTAGAGGAAGTGTGTCATGGGGGGGGGGTGTTATGCTTTGAGGTCTCCTATGCTCAAGATACTCTCAATGTAGACACAGTTCACTTCCTGTGATCAAGATGTAGATTTCTTAACTCCTTCTCCAGAACCATGTCTGCTTCCCTCTGCTTCAAAGTTAGATGTGTCCCATACAACTTGCTTTTGTTAATAAACAAGAAATGCCACTTCCCATTGGGTATATTTAAAACTGCATGCATGATTCTCTGTGCTCTTTCCCTGCTGCAGTGACTGAGTGTAAATGTGAATGAGCTTCTGGAATGCTCTTAGAATGCCAAGCTCCAGTCACAAGACCAGCTGCCCTACAGAGCTAAGATCCAGTTGGGCTTTGTTTGTTACCTCAGCAATGCACCTATCTTGTTTTGGTAAGACAACATATGTCATTAACGGCTTGAAACTCCTAACATGCAAGACAGAAACTGTGCAGGGGTTTGCGTTTTCAGTAAGGTCTCTTCACATTGACTTCAGAGCAGTGTTGTGTGATACTTTGATCGAATTCTGACAATAAAGTTTGTTTTGAATCAGAGGGTGGAGCTACCACTAGCTGACCAAAATTAACCATAGAAGTTTTGGAGGACTGTGTACAGATAGAGAGACAGGAAGTAGTAAGGCAGGTCTAAGAGGATCTCAGTCCTTTTGGATGGAGAAACAGAAGAGGAGGTCACTGATTGCTTCTCCACCGATTCTCTGATTACTCGGGTTCTTACCCTGATATCTGACTCCCAATTTTTTATTGATAAATCAAATAAACACATCAGAGCAGTGGCAGTCTACTATGTCAGTCAGATTTGTCAATATTAATGAGAAGTTTGGGGTTGTCATACTGGATGTGGCATGTACACCTGGCAGGTTAAGACCCATAGTATTGCTGAACATCTACAATGCAAAAGGTAGGTCCCACAACAAAGAACCATCTAGTCCAAAATGTTAGCAACACATGGGGCGGGGGGAACCTTGGCTTATAAAAATAAAAATGGCACTGAACTCTGTCCCCTTGAGGAAGACAACGTGGAATAGGTGTAAGCTCACCATATCTCACCAGGGATTGTGGCGCTCATAGTTCATTCTATTCTGACTGACAATAACATACTTACATAGTATTTTAAAATATATACTGGGGCTGGAGAGATGGCTCAGTGGTTAAGATCACTTCTTCTTTTGTAGAGAACCCATGTTCAGTTCCCAGCACCCATATGGAAGCTAACAACTGTCTGTAATTCCAGATCCAGGGGATCTGACACCCTCTTCAGGCCTCTGTGGCCATTACACTCACAAGGTGCACAGAACACAAACATGCAAGCAAAACACCCATATGTAATATATATATAATATATAATAAATCTTTACATATTCATATATGCAAATATAAGAAGGACCTAGGACAAAATAGAAGTTCTTTATTAGACATCTGAAAATCACTCTAATGTTTTTATCTATAGAAGAAATAGTGTTACATATAGCCAAAAAGGTCAAGTTCAAATGTCAGTACTAGTACTTAGTAACAGTCACATGACTGTCATTTACCATCTCTAGTTTCTGATGTGCTCATTTTTTGGAACAGGTCTAAAAGTAACCAAATCACAGAAATTCTACACAAAGTAAGTACAATCAAGTACTACGGTGTTTGAATAAGGCAATCACAAATACGCAAGAACCATGAGTGCAGTTTACATCAAGCTATAATCTTAATTCATACTGATCAATAACACTGACAAATGACTATATCATACTCGCCAAAATGCATTTTCATTTTTCTCTATTTTCTTCACTTGAATGCTGCAAGGTATAAAACAGTCACTTATTTTTTAGTATGAAGTCTATGTTGGATTTTCTTTCTTTTTTTTTTTTTTGTCCTTTCTTCTGTCTGTTCATTTTTGCTTTCTCTCTTTCGGCAATTCTTGCTGCTGTTGATGTGAACATGAAAACAATCCACTCACTTCAAATGTGGGTATTTCTGATCCTCAGGAGAAACATCTCAAAGGACCTAACCACCTTTCTATTCCCTATTTACCAAATAGGGAAGTGTTTTTTTTTTCCTAGTTAGGTTCTTATCTAAAAGATAATTGTAGCTATATCCATATGGAGGTAATAAAGTAAAAATAATCAAGGAAAGCATAATGGTCCTGGAAAGGTGGGCTTGAGAATTCTTGACCCCAAAGAATTCTGAGATAGTCCACTGGACACTATCTCACTTAGTCTCACTTAGTAGACTAAGAGAAAGACCAGAAGCACGCACTTGCACAATGTCTAGACCTGTGACAGAAGGACCGTGTGCCTGTGTACTTAGTGTTCACACAAGTGTAGAAGTTTCATGGCCCCTTGTGTTATGGTGGAAAGGGAATAGGATCTGGCTCCATCTAGAGCCACATCTAACCTTCTATTACTCCTTGGAGATTCCCCTTCCAGGATCCTGCAGAATGCCTGTGGAATGTAGCGTGGAGCTTCCACATGTATACTCTAGAGTTGAACTCAGCACACCAAGTTACCCCATGCTGTGGGAAAGGGAAGTAGGAACTCGTTTATTGAATTAAGTAACATAACCTATTGAATAGTAATGTATAGTTTCCTGGAAAAAATTTAAGTGGACTGGTAAAATGTCAAAATGTGTATTGATGACAGAAAAATTGAATTTCAATGTTGCTCAGCATTCTCTTAAATTCTGTTCTCTTTGACTGAGGGGCATTTAATATTTACCCAGCCGATATGTGAAAAAAAAATGAAGTGGCTGACTAATTTTCCAAAAAGGATTTGCAATTGGCATGAAAGCTGAAAAGCAGTTCACAAAGATATGCCAAAGGTTAATTGACTTGAGCACTGGGAAAAACAAAATAAAACCAGAGTCCCTACTACAGTCTTCATATAGAATCATGATGCTAAAAGGGGGCACTGGGGGTGCTATTCTGCCATCCCATTCAGCTCTGCTCTTAAAGTAATTTGAAAAAATGGAGAAAGTCAAAGCAAAAATCAAGTCCAAGCTTGACACTAGACAGACAGACAGATAGATAGATAATCTGACATTGTATTTCTCATGAAAATCATCCGCATGCCTGCATCACAAATAAAGACCATATTCTACATTAAATATTTCCAACACTTTCATAACCTACATGACTCTTCCTCCAGTAATATGATGAGCCAATCAGTATTTATCCCTACTGCACGAATGGGCTTTGGGATCCCATTCCTTATGGAGGGATACTGTCTCATCCTAGACACACAGGGAAGGGCCTAGGTCCTGCTCCAAATGATGTGACAGACTTTGATGATCCCCCATGGGAGGCCTCGCCCTCGCTGAGGAGTGGATGGGGGTGGGATGGGGGATGGGTGGGGGAATGGGAGGACTGAAGGAGAGAGAACTGGGATTGGTATGTAAAATAAGATTGTTTTTAATTTAAATAAAAAATCAATTTTAAAATATAAAAAATAACCCCCCCAAAAAAGAAAGGAGTATTAAATGATAGATTCCTTTAAATAAGATGCTGTGAACCCAGGATACAGCTAACTAAAGATAAACTTTGCAGCAAGCTTGTACTAAAAGATAGAGAATGAGTTATAAAGAGAATCAAACTGAGTATTTTATGGGATGAGGAGATAAAGGCTGGAGCTCGATAGAAACACACAAATCAGTGCTAAACAGACAGCCAAAGTGTCCCTTAAGGCCATCCTATTTGCACTCATTCTCACAGCAGGTGCTGCAGTCCTACATGGCACACTGGAAATGATGAAGTGCATAGTGTACTTTCTAAATTGTAATTCAGCTTTTAGTTCACTCAGAAGGATAATTTGACATCATTAAAAATTCATTTTTATTCATCTCACCTTATGCTAATCTTCTTTTGGTGTCAGTAGTAGTTAAATAGTTTTTAATATGTAGGATTTTAAGGTAAAAGTAATTAGTGAAATACGAAGTTTACAGAACAAAAATCTCTAGGTAAATTTAAGCCTATCATTAAGGAGCAAATATTATGGCTTATGGTTATATTATAAATTATATTATAAGCCCCAAGAGAAATATTTATGAATAATTTACCATAGTTTTTTAAGTTATGGTAGATATTTTTGGCTGCAGTATTTAGATTATTTAGAAAGGTCAGATGGAAGCCACTGTGCCAAATTAATATTAACACTCAGTCACTCCAGAATGAAGTTCCCAAGCCAGGCTTCACTTTCACAGAACAGAAAAGACCTTTATAAAGCCGTCTATTTGCCAGGGTTCTGTTTGCCTTTCTGTGTTCCTAGAAATTACCCATTTATCTGTGGAACTCTGTTTCAGACCCACTGGCCTGGTACAACTCAGCAAGTGGTGGGAGGGACATACTGTGTAAATTTTAGTTCCTTTT